AGGTGCAGTCTTTTTTGGTTAGTTGGAGTTTCTCTGCAAATGTCTCTTCCGTTGGTTGGTATTAGGCATATCGTTAGAATCCTGTTTAATGTATCTTTCATCAACCTCCGAAGGACATTTTCTAGGAACGACAAACATTCATGAAAGAACAGGCTAACTTCAAGTCTCTGACAGTTCATTTATGAATCAGTGCAGATATCTTTGTTAAAGAGGAAAACTAGATGAAAATGATTCTCACCCTCACCACTTTTCACACCTTGCTCAGAGAATCTAACAGGTGCCTAGTCCTCTAGTCCTTCCTGCTGTCTTTCGCCCTGGCGGTGGTCCAACTTCTAAAATTTAATTTAGACGTCGCAGTAAGTAAACTGGTTATTTGGCTCCTCTCTTACGTGAACTTTCATTCCATCATTTCGCGCGTGGCGTAGCGACTGTGACTTTACTATAAATTGCAATTTCCAGTGGTTCAGGCAATTTAAGCCTTTTTAACGACTAAACCGCACAAATTCCTTTCGATGATACCGAATTACGGACAGGCAGGCAGTTTTTTCGAGGTCATGTTTTTTAGGCGTGATTTTCCCCTCCCTCCGCTGAACATGTGCAGTAGTTTTCGCAAAGGAATTCAAGGCAGAGGATCGGTGTTTGTGTTCGACTGCGTATCTGTGCGCAAATGGTCAACTGAAATGTCTGAGATTTATCGTTTACGACAGCCGCATGGCGTAGAAAAACTGACCCCTTCTGCGGATGTACTTTCTAAGCCAAAATGACGGACAATTTTGGCAAAATAACGCCAAAAATGGAAATAATTCGCTGAGTCGGTTCAACGGGAAGACCTCTAAATTGCGGGGGTTTTGGAAATAGTGTTGGTTTTTTCAACGCATTCTTGAGGAACGTTTCTCTCGGTCAAAGAACGAAATCAAATTATGCAGCACGATGGGATGTCGCTTCTTACAGACAGGGCCATTATCCAGAAACAGTAAAAATGCCATCGTCGAACTCGATATATTTTCCGTTACTCCCGGCGTGCTGAATGTCATCCATCAAGGCCCATCCACTGTTCGATCGTCTGCATCGCGTTCACAGCCTTGTTTGTCGTTCAGCGCAGTTGCTACCACAGTGCGGTTATTTGTAACACTACTACAAGTGCTCCTAGCGAGTAGTGCGCCGCTAACCACTGAACTCATAAAGTTACGCATAAAACAAAGAAGCGGCAAAATTATCAGTAGTGAATAATTTCAATACAGTACAGACCTTTTCCATCCAGAGAGTAACCGGTGTTTTCTCGTTAAATAAATACGGATGCGATACTCCAGTTCTCTCTGGATAGGTTTTAAAGTTTTTCAGAGGTAGGAGGCATTCGTTCGACTGTTTCAAGCCTCACGACAAGAATTCGGGTCAACCGTAACGACCGGATGATGAACATTCCCGTTCTTCGCACTACATATGATCTCCTACCTTCGGTCACTGCCCCTTTCCCGAACATGGCACCAAGGTTGAATCGATATCGAATGTATTCACATGCAGGCATCTGAAGTTCATCTATAGCACGTCGCATGATAGTTCGGTAATTAGTAGAAAAGTTGTAACGTAGTGCGGTTTAATGGCGGCATGTTTCATAAACGTGTCACGC